TCTCTCTTTAAATCAGTGCATTCGACCCTTCAATCGAGATTTCTTTTAGATCCCGTCCAGTTGTTAACAAATGATGTTCAAGATTTTTTCGCAGGGTTTGTGCATTTCTCACCCGAATATTTTCAGGCCAAAGAATTGACTGCTGGTGACGCCAGATTCATGTTTTGTCCCTTGTTTTAAGTAATTGACACATGAAACTTCCTTTTCCTTTTTAGAAATATTGCTCCTGATGGTGCACTCATGCTTTTTGCTCAAAATTGGGGCACCTGACAACAAAATCAGGTTTTATCCAACACTCAAATCATGCTTTCGTTTAGATTAAGGGGTCCTTCATACTGGTATCATTTTTACTTTACTAGTTTTACTTCTGGAACAAAGCGAAGTTGAATCCAGAATACTATTAGGAACCACAAATTTGAAAGCAAAAATCTGGGTTTTCCTTTAGACAAAGTGCATTACACATCTAAATCATATTTTCTTTGGGCAAAATAGTACTGTAGACAAGATTAGTGTCTTTCTCATCCGGATCGTGTTCTGCTTCAAGTTAAGACCGATTGGTACCAGAATCAAGACCACTTCTAGAAATATTTCATTTCGCAACAAAATCATGATTTCTTTAACTTTTAGTGTTGGTTACACATGAATGATGTTCTTCCGTTGAAGAAGTGCATATGGAAATAGTATCATGTCCGTTTTTAGGAATTAGTACTACTTGCACGAGAATCCTGTCTTCTTTTGCGACAATAATATTTGACACGAGAGTCGCGTGTTCCTTATGGTTTGGCGTCGTTGGCACATGAATCAGTATTTCTCCTTCCGAGTTAAGTAGTCCCACTGATGCAACAACCATTTTTTCTCTTAGAATTGGTGCATTTGACACTAGAATCATGTCATGTTTATGATTTAGAACAATTGGTCAAGCAATCATGTTTGTTTCTAGAGTAAATGTAATCTTGTTTTGCCTCAGAACTAGTGTCCTAGACGTCAAAATCCAGTTTTCCCCTAGAATTAGTGTCATTGATGCTTGAATCAAGTTTTCTTTTAGGCTAGCAACCAGGGTTTCCTTGGAAATTAGCGCATTGCACACAATTTGTGCGTTTTCACACCAAAATGGTGTGAAGTATTACCCAATAACATGAATTCTAGTTTCCCCTTTGAGTAAGGGCGTTTGACAACGGAATGTAGTTTTCTTTAAAGTTTAGATCAGTTGATACCACGACCGTAACCCCTCTAAGAATTTGTTCGTATTTGTTTGAGTGTCCTGTACAAAGGAATCGTGTCACCATAAGGAGTAGTGCATATTTCATTTGTATCATGTTATCTTCCAAAAATTTGTGCTACAGGCAAAGAATTGTGTCTTCCCTCAAAAACTTGTAATCGACCCCAATGTCTGGTGTTTTTGAAGTTCTAGTGTTTTCTGACACATTTTTTCTCCAAGAATTACAATCGTTGACGCCGGATTTCTGTGTGTTCTATAAGTGTATTCGCTGCTGCATTCACTGGATTGATGTTTTCTCTCTTTAAATCAGTGCATTCGACCCTTCAATCGAGATTTCTTTTAGATCCCGTCCAGTTGTTAACAAATGATGTTCAAGATTTTTTCGCAGGGTTTGTGCATTTCTCACCCGAATATTTTCAGGCCAAAGAATTGACTGCTGGTGACGCCAGATTCATGTTTTGTCCCTCGTTTTAAGTAATTGACACATGAAACTTCCTTTTCCTTTTTAGAAATATTGCTCCTGAAGGTGCACTCATGCTTTTTGCTCAAAATTGGGGCACCTGACATCAAAATCAGGTTTTATCCAACACTCAAATCATGCTTTCGTTTAGATTAAGGGGTCCTTCATACTGGTGTCATTTTTACTTTACTAGTTTTACTTCTGGAACAAAGCGAAGTTGAATCCAGAATACTATTAGGAACGACGTTTGAGTTTGACAAAATGATGATGGGCGATATAAGTGATTGATAATGATTTTAAGGGAAAAAATATGACTGAGACAAAATTCAAACGTACTCCTGTTTAATTACATAGATTGAGAAAAAAGTTAAGGGCATTTTAGTATATTTATATAAGGAACGGTAGTTTAATATTTTTAAAAAATTTAAGGCAAACCGTTACTGAAATTTAGGGCACCGTTAAATATTACTATTAAAGGATGTCTTTAATTTAAAAGTCAAAAAGTATAAATTAAAAGAAAGTATAATGAAATTTTAGAATTAGAAAAGGGTGTTGTTATTGAATTTAGGCTTAATTAGAGGGGAAATTTTCAATTATTTATATCCTTGAGGGGGACATTTACCCTCGTATAAAACCAAAACATGTGATTTGTTCACTGAAAACAAGCAGAGACTATGTATGTATGTATGAGTATGACCTACTTTTCCTACCCTTGGCTTTCTCTTTTCCAAAAACTCGCAAACAATGATACGTCTCTTTTCTGCCCAAAACAGTGAAACCGCCGATTACTGTCATCCAGCGTAAGAACTACCGCTTCACCGGCTCAAAAGATAAGAAGGGGAAGAATAAGCAACTTCTCAGCGCTGCTCAGTCCCAGGTAAGAATCTCTCTCTCTCCTAATGAAATCTATAATTAAATCAAAAATGTTTGCAGTCTATTGTATGCAATTGATTTTGGTTGTGCTTCTGGGTTTCTGGTTCTCTCAGGGATGCATAGTTTTTCTAGTTCGATGTTTTCAATGTTACTCTATCCTACTTGTGAACGTCATAATCCACCCCATTTCATCTTATCTAGTTTTATTTGTATCAATGAGGGTTGGTTCAATGACAACTTGACAAGTTATATTGGGATTTCTTTTTTGTATGACTTCCTCCTTCTTGATTGTTTCTACAACTTCAGAATTTGAGTCGAGAAAAGGAGATTGCGTTGTTTTCATCACTGTTTGGCACATTCAAGCCTTCTTGTAATCGTTGAGAGGAAAAATGCTGTCTATAGCCTCTGAGATTTCAAAGGCTGATTCCTGTAGTTCATTTCACAACATCATCATGCCTTTGTCGCTCCAAAAATTGTCATCTACTTTCGTCATTGTTACCTACAACCAATGAGGTTGTTTGTGGACTCTGTATCTAGTGGGTCTAAATCTCATTCCTCATCAAATCTCTGCAGACAAAAGCTAAGTGTTTCTTTTTTGTCAGTGCAAGTGCAATTAATGGCCATTGCCCTAAAAGCAACTTTCCCCGTCCAACTGAAAAAGAAACCTGAAAACCATTTATTTATTCGCCTGAATGCTCAAAGAGTCGTTGTTTCGAGGAAAACATTGAAGACTCCAATGGCCACTCTCAGCACTGTCTGCACTGTGGGTCTCTCCGAAACTTTTGCAAGATTGAGACAAGAAGGCAAAGTAAGCACTTCATTTCCTCTCTCTCATTTATGTTTAATGCTTTCTTCTGTGATTCTGTCACTTTTTCTTGGGGAAATTTTGTATTTCTATATGATTGGTTTTTAGTTCAATTTGAATTTCAACATGGCTTCGGTTTATTTTGCTTGGTGATATGGTTGATGCCTAGATGATTTGGGATTATGGACACACTATTTCTTTGTAGAGTTTTAGGGGTTTTGCCAGAAATGTTTAAATACATCATTTAGTATTTGGTATCGTCATGCAGTTTATATGAAGCTGTCCAGATTACACAAAAAATCTAATGTATTCCTCCCTTGCCTTAAAAGGAAGAACCCAATGGAGGCCCCCAAACAGGTGGAAAGAATGCTACCCCTCGTGGCCAAGTTTAGCTGCCAGGGCACCAATCCATTTACCTTCTCCCACAAGTATCAAATCTCTCTTGATACATCAACCTTCAAAGCCCGACACCACCTGAAATAACAACCAACTGTTCTAAGGGATCTCAATGTCTCATTTTCCCTAAAATTTAGTGAAAGACAACTCCCTCTTC